TGGATACCTAGCGGGCTTTGGTGCTGGGGGAACTGAGCACTTATGGACCTGTCCAGTGTGCAATGGCGTTGTTGCCCAGGACAGGTAAAACAGGTAAACTAACCCCACTTCTAGAACACAATGTGTCAGCTTATGTTGGTGTTTTCGAGAAAACATGTGTGTCCTTGAGGATAACTGTTTCTGGATAATGTTTTAAATGAGTACAGTGTAGTACTAAAAACAGATATGCACCCCCCCCTCCCCCCCCCAGTCCTTTTTAGCCCACCATCACATTCATATATTGTCAAGTTGTGCAGCCTTCCATTTGGTGAGGAAAACTAATATAAACCCCATTTTGAGGACAACACTAATGATACGACCCTACCACTACTCCAAGTGATTTGAGGGTCAATAAACTGACCCCACGGCTGGACAGTGAAAACCTCAAAATGTTGACATACATAATATATTATTTTAGTACATATACACACATACACTCCAATATTCTGGTGTCGTTTGACGTTTTTGTTTTTTTTGGTGGAGGGTTTTTTTTTGCTGTTCCATGCATGTTCCATCTTCCTATTTGTTCCCACATTTTTTTCTTTTTTTGGGGGGGTTGTTATGTTTGTTGTTTTTTGTTTTAAATCATGTATACGAGAGGCTGGAGACCGCCACGATGGCCCACAGGTCCGCAGGTTACTTTCATTTCTCCTGTTGTTTTTGTCTGTCCCTCTCGCTTTTTCCTTACCCTAAATGACTGATCTATTGTCTATATACTTCTCTTTTCTCCTTATGTGTATACTATAGTACTAATTCTAGTAGGTTTGAAAAGATATTATAATTGTGTCTAGACAGGCTTTAATCTCAGTCTTAAAGTATATATTGTATAATTCCGCAACAACAGAGCTGGTTCCTATCATGTGGTTTCTAAACTCAGCTTAGATCTACTTACTGAATGCTCCAGAATCCCAGGACTGAGTTGTAATCACTTGGACGCCTCCTGTGGTGGTCAGTGGAGGTTGACCTGTGGTCAGGGTAGAATTTGTGGACGGCTGGCCAGTGCTCAATGGCTGCGTGGTGGTAGTACTGCTGGAAATAGGTGCTGCAGTTGTTGGCGATGACGAAGTTGTATTACCAGATGTCATCGATGATGTTGTATCACTGGATGACATCGGTGATGTTGAGTCAGTTGATGTCATCGGTGATGTAGAGTCAGTTGATGTCATCGGTGATGTTGTACCACTGGATGTCATCGGTGATGTTGAGTCAGTTGATGTCATCTGAGATGATAATATTTGTAATAGTGTAGTGCTACTAGATGACAGTGTTGGTTGTGTTGAGTCACTCGTTGTTAAGGATTGTGTGGATCCACTAGAGAAGAATAGTGTTGAGTCACTAGACGCCAGTTGTGTACTACCACTAAACATCACCTGTGATGCTGCCTCACTGGTTGGTGCCAG